GACTGGACTTTTTTTCATTACACAGATAGTTTTACTGTATACATATTAGGTACACAGTTTCATAAGAATAAAAATCCAACTCTTAGAACATGAGAAGATAATAACTAAAACAAAGATACAAATGGAATGAACATAGACTATGTGTTCTTTACATTCATATTTTGCATATAGTTATTAAACTGATTTTTCAGTATTAGCATTTCAGGATTGGTTCAAACCTTGCAAAACAACTTTATTGGTGGTATTTATGTGTGGGGAGAAGAAAACTTTATGTAATAATCATGGCTCCACGAACATGACTTAACAGTGAAGGTTTTATATTGTGGAGAAGAATGCAAGTAAATATTGGTTGTTTTAGAAATGCTACCTAAACTACAATGACATTAAATACATATTTCCTTCCCAAACCCCAATATAGTTTATAGACTATCAAATGAAGCTATGAAAGTTAAAATTTTAACACTGTCAATCAAGCTGCAAAAATCAAAACAAAAAAACTCAGACTAGATTTAAAGTTTGGATATCCACTAAACTTGGCACATTCTTTTCTTACACTTCCAGAAGTACCTCAGTTAGGCATGGGATATCCAGTTAGCTCCTCTTTGCAAATTCCGTTATAATGAAGTGACAGAAGCAAAGACGACAGACCCAGGTTGTCACGGGGGAAACGAGATACAACCACAAGCTGTTCAAGGGATGTAACAGGGTACAAGTCTGAACAGCACGAGTCTGGTGGAAAAGCAAACTCAATCCTGTATGTCCTAATATTTAAGGGAGCTCTGCACAGTGTAAGTTTTTACATTCTGTTTGACGGTAGGTATTGAACCTAGTACTCCAGGCATACTCAGCATGCATTCTATCACTGAGCTTTATTCCCTGCCGCACTTTTTTGGCTGTTTTGTTTTGTTCTGGATATGGGATCTCACTATATAGCCCCGGCTGGCCTTGAATTCACAATCTTCCTGCCTCAGCTTTCTGAGTGCTAGAATTACAGGCATGCTCTCATTACCATGCACAGCTTTCAGCCCTAAATTTAGACTTTCACATTAGTCAAATCAAGGCAAAAGAGAACTGTCAGTATTTTAAAGGCAGCAAAGTGCATAATAATTTTTGAAATATGCTCATGCAATACAAATTTTATCTAAAACACTTCATTTTCCTTTCCTTTTTTTTTTCCTGTCTTTTTGAAACAAGAGTCTCACTTGCAGTTCAGGCTGGCCTTGAGCTCACTTTGTAGGGGAGGCTGCCCTCAAACTCGCAACAATCCTCCTGCCTCAGCCTCCCAAGTGCTGGGATTACAGGTGTGCACCACACCTGGCTGCATCTTCTTTCTTATACTTTGCAAGTATGACGTAGATGTATTATATTTAAATAATCCACCTGATGTGTCTCCTGGGGTTTCAAAATTATTGCTGAGTCTTTTGTCATCTTGCTGTTTTTCACAACCTTGAAATACCACATTTCTATTATAGTAGCTGGTTTTCCTGGCTCTAGATCAACACCTGTATCCTCAACGTTGACTTTCTGGAGTTCCTGGTCATCCAACGGACCCAAATGGACAGTGACCGAGCCAGGAGGCCTTCCCAGCACTCTCCCTTTGCCGGCTCTCCACTCACTCATCTTTGTTTAAGTTTCGGAAGTTCCTCCCTTCTTGGACCTGGTCTTCGGAGTCATCACTCTGCCACTGGAAATCTGATTTTCCTGTGTGGACGTCAGAAGTGACTTCCGTTTTAACAGCTGTTCCTTGAATTCTCGCCTTCTCTGCTCTTGGAATGAAGGCCGGGCTCTCTGCCTGCGGGCAGCGGCAGATCCTGGGGCACAGCTGGGTGCTCATAGCCAAGGGGGAGCCGGGTGCCTGGGGTGGCGTGGACTCCCTCAGGCCGCAGCGCCACACCTGCTGGCTGGACTCTGACAAGAGTGGACTGCCAAGCGCAAGCAAGCGTCTACTGGACAGGTAGCCCGCTAGAACTCTCACATGAGGAAAAACACACTTCTGTTAAGTTGAACCGCTAACGTGTTGGGATGTTTCCACTTCGACTTAGCAGTATGCGAATACACGTCACTCTGTACTCCCAAGTAACTCACGACGCGCCCACACATACTCAGCAGGGGCGTACCATGGTCAAATCCACGCGCCACGTGCATGAGATGCAAAAGTAAACTAGGAGACTCTGCCCTCAAGCCATTTCCAATCCAGAAGAAACAAACAGCAACCACTCACACAACTATAAGGCTGTGTGTGACTTAGACCCTTAGAAGATAAAGAAATTATCAGAGGATTTAAAAGGAGGGAGATACTGAAATAGGACGCACACCAGCAGAGTGTGGGTAGAAGCATCCCATCGAGGGTACTGAAGGGAAAGGCGTTCAGGGAATGGGATGTGAGTATTCTAGTTTTCCTGGAGAGCGGGGTTCAAACAAGGGTACTGTGAGAGCTAAAGAAACGAAAGATGGGGTGAAAGTACAGACGAACCTGAGTGGTGGTCAGAAGGGGCCACTGCAGGTTGTGGAAGAGGGTGCGGCACACAGCCCGCCACACTTCAGGAAGGTCAGAGGCTGGAACGAGCAGAGGAGTTAGGAGGCTACCAGCGACACAGCGCTGCAGAGCAGTGTAAGAGTCAAGACTGCAGACAGACCGAACATGGAAGGCTGGGCAAGAAAAAAGGCGTCGAAGATGACTGAGGTGGGGAACTACGGTAAGGAAGTTACCGAACTATGAATCAAGGAATTAAATTCAAAGAGAAGATGTTAATCTGGGACTGGAGAGCAATAAGGTATCCAGTTTTAGATAAAATGAGAATAGGATATCTATTTGGGGGGAGGGTCTCGATGTGTAGTCCAGGCTGGCCTTGAACTCACTATGTAGTTTAGACTGGCCCTGAACTCACAGAGATCCTCCTGCCTCAGCTTCCCAAGTGCTGGGGTTATAGGTGTATGCCACCACTGTAGATATCTAGTAGAGATATATTACTTGGATCAAAGCAAAGGAATTGAGGGCTATTGGCTTGCTTTGGAGATGAAAATGTGAAGCATTATCTACTCACAGGTGCAAATTAAGGCCAGAAGCTGCATTCAGGTTGACAAAGGAGATTTGATTGAAGAAAGCTTAATATTTTCCTAAAAAATATGCAAGGCAAGAAGATAAAGAAAAAGCAGAGGAGTGACTGAGGGGACAGAAGATCCAGAGGAACCAGTCTCATGGGAGACACTGGATCATGTCCAATTCTGTAGATCAGTGGAGAAAGAAATTAACACGAGCCGGCCGTGCTGGTGCACGCCTGTAACCCCAGCACTCGGGAGGCTGGGGCAGGGGGATCTCCTTGAGTTCAAGGCCAGCCTGGGATACACAGTGAGTTCAAGGCTGGTCTGAACTACATGGCGAGACCCTGACTCACAAAAATAAAAAATAAAAATTAACACCAAATACATAATCTCAGTCCAGCGAAACAGCTTCACCAATGACCAAGCAGGCATTCCAACCCCTCAAAGAACAAAAGCACTGGAATAAAACAAACCTGGGTCTTAGTCTTGACTCTGCCCTTCAGCAGCTACATAATCAGTCATAGCTCTGACTCTCATGGCGTGTGAAAAGTAAAGTTTAAAACCTTTATGCCAGGTGTGGTGGTGCACACCTGTAATCCCACACTCAGGAGGCTGAGGCAGGAGGATCACTTCGAATTCAAGGCCAGCCTGGACTACACGGTGAGTTCAAGGCCAGCCTGAACTACGTAGCAAGATGGTCTCACAAAACAAAACAAAAACCTAACGGCTCAGCACAGTGACTAACATATGATAAACACTCAAGTAAGAGCTGTTGTTTAAATTATTTTTAAATAATAACAAACACATTTGCTTTACCACAGCCTGCTGATGAAAGGATAAGTCTGTACAGATTTTTTTGAAGGCAAGGTCCTAGCAAAATTTTTAACATACATACATCTGACTCAGCAAACGTGCTTCAGGGAGCGCTTGCGCTGCAGGAGGGCTCTTATGGGTAAGAGTGCTGATTGCTGCATTGTTTGTCATAGGGAAAACCTGAAACCCATCTCAGGGAGAAATGGCTACATAAACTGACACAGCTGTACTACGAAGTGCCCAGGCACACCTAAGGAACTGGTAAGGTATTCTCCCTATCTTAAGAGAAAAAGTACGCGCCTGGACTCCCAGCACTCGGAAGGCTGAGGCAGGAGGACTGCTGTTAAGTTTGAGGCTACGCTGGGCTACACAGTGAATTCAAGGCCAGCCTGAACTACACAGCAAGATTGTCTCAAAAAAGAGAGAAAGCAATTTCTCCAAGAACCCAGATGACTCCATGTATAACCAAAATACAAAGAAAATAAAAGGAAAGCTAACACTGAGGTTTAAAAAGTAAAGAAAGTAGTAGATAATAAAGGTGGTATTCACCTGTAACTCTGGATACTTTCATACTGTTTCAGTGAAAAGTACCAATATATTGTAACTCAATAATTTTAAAAAGGAAATGTCAAAGTCACATACTTTTATGAAACACGACTGCACCATGCATGTATCTGTATCTATATATAGATATGTAATATTTATATATACTAAAGTTTAAACACGGAGATTCTTACGCTTCAGGGAATACCCTGAAATCGTTTGCATTTATCTGGAAGGAAGCTCTCCAGTTTCCACGGCTGTGGCCCCAAAGGCTGGGAGGCGACCAGCACAGCAGGCTACGGAGCGGTCTCCCGCGCTTGCTAGTTGGATATTTAACCCCTGGTGGAAGAAGCTAATACCCGCGTTATAGGTGGGCAGATCAGGACGCAAAACTGGCCATGAAGCCAATCTATGAACAGGGTCCGCCTCTAAATTTCTGGTTCCTCTTGCTGGCCGTCACCTACGGCAAGCGCGGAGACGTCTCCGCTCGGGGGCGGGAGGCCTGCCGAGGCTCGTCCTGAGCGGGGCGACCTGCGGGTCTGCCTGGCCGGAGCTCGGAGAGGGGAACACGCTTCGCCCCAGCGCCCCCGCCCCGCACTCACTGCTCCCGCGGCTCCAGCGAGGGAAGCGGCTGCGGCGGGGGCTTCCTCGGGGGCCCGCGGGC